CCTCAGCCCATTTAAAAAAATATTAAGGTATTGCTGAATTGCCCAGGCTGGGCCTGACAGTCACAATTCTTGTGCCGCAGCCTCTCAGAGTGCTGCGATTACAGGCATGGACCACCATGTCCAGCTCTCGGTCTTCCCAGGGAATCAAGCAGCACAGCATTTCCCCAGGATCTATCCCTGCTAAAGTATGTCTACACCTTCTCTACTGGGTCTAGAGTTTTCATCTTCATTCACAGGAAAATTTCCCATTCTTTCTGCCTAAATTGACATGTTTATTTAGATCCTCTTTGGGGGGGACTTCAAAAGCAAGTCTTACCAGTACAGTGTGGCACCTCTGGCTAGATAAGAAACAAAACGCTGTTTCACCACACTGTAATCATAGAGACTGAAGAAGGCTACAAGTGGCTGATAGGTCCCAGGACTTCTCTTTTTTTTTGGCCCCAGGACTTCTGCTGGAGGTTATGAGCCTAACATTCCTACTCACCGTCCCATGTTTATTCTGTCTCTCACTGGGCCTGTGGATTAGCAGTGGCTGGTCCTCTTCCTTAACTGTGATCCCATAGTTCTTCCTAGAGCACAGCGGAGGCAGGGAAAGTTTGGGAAGCAGTATCACTACTCTTATACCAGTACATACTGAGTCTATTAACCTCTTCACCAGGATTAAGGCTTATAATTTGCACAATACTTTTGTCAAGGATACATCAGAAATGTATCATAGTACAATGGTACTTCCATTTGCGAGCTTAATTCTTTCTACAGTTCTGGTCATAGAATTTGGTTGCAACCAGAAATGTGGACCAAATTCTTCAACCAGATTTGTGGAAAGAATTAAGTTTGTAAAGTGAGGCACCAATGTATAGCTATCACCGGAAAAAGTAGTTTCAACTTACATTACAGTTAAGTACAAAAGAACTAAGCCCAGAAGTCCAAGAAAAAATATGCTAAAAACTGCATTAAGCTAATGGTTTCAGTACAAATGAAATGATAGTTGTTGGGGTTTTGTTTTGTCTTGTTTTGTTGAGATAGGGTCTCGCTATGTAGTTCAGGCTGTCTCCTTGAACACACTATGTAGCCCACGCTGGCCTTGAACTCAAGGTAATCCACCTGCCTCAGCCTCCCAAGTGCTGGGATAACAGGTGTGCACTACCACGCCTGGCTTGATAGTTGAATTATTAATGACTTGAATTTAATCTCTCCAACCAGACTTTTAACAAAATCAGCAAGACAAATACAATTCAGAGCCTGAGATTAATTTATATAGTAACTTTCCAACATATTAAAAGAAATGAAACTGTAAGGGTATGGGGCCAGGGATATAGCTCAGGGGCATAAGCGCCTGCCTGGCAAGCACAAGGTCCTGAGTTCAATTCCTCGTACCCCCCCCCCAAAAAAAGAAACTGTAAGGGTAGCACATTTAGGTCAAATCCCACAAACATGTTCAATCTTCAGCATGTTACCAAACCCATTATTTTTCAAGTGTCAATTTGCAAGCTATATGGAACTCAATAGCCTCTAGAGAATGGAAGACTGTGTTTGACTCTGCCCCCTCTTAGGCCCAAACCCATCTCTTCTTTCTACCTGTAATATTCCAGGAATGTGATCTCCTTCCCATCAGACATTGTGAAGCTGTCCTTTGGAGTCTTATTCCAATCCACGTCATCAATCCGATAGGTACGATTATTGTATCGGGTAATAACAATATTGCCAACCAGAAGTTTACTGCACTCATACTGGAAGTTTTCTTTGTTCTGCTGGTACATGGCATGCCTTTAGAAAGAAAGAGACAAAAGACTTTGGGCCACACTTGTACACACAGGGCAATATGAAAGGCACAGGAGACTCAAGTAACTAATTTGTGGAACTAATGGTCTAATCACAGCTAAACAGCACCAGAAGACACCAGTTTCTGTGTCTTTTAAGGGATGGGACTCTGAGCCAGGTGCATTGGCATATATCCCAAGCACTCCAGGAGGCTGCGGCGAGAATTCCAAGTTTAGGCCCAGACTAGGCAATTTAGCAATTTAGTGAAGCCCTGTCTCAAAAAAAACAAACAAAACTTTAAAGGGCTAGGTATACAGCTCAGTTCAAAGACCTGGGTTCAACCCCCCCGAAAAGGAGTAGGATTCTGACATCTTTCCTTTTAAACATTATCCCCCACAAAAATCAAACAACAGTGAAAGTTAAAAATTGTGTCAGGGGCCAGGATATAGCTCAGTAGCACAGTGCCTGCCTGGCAAGGGCGAGGTTGTGAGTTTGATTCCCAGTACCAAAAAAACCACCACCACCACCAACAACAAAAAACCCTGTAGCAAAAGCAGCAAAAACAAATTAATAAAATTCACTGTATTCTGTATTTTTATCATCAGAATAATTGTTACTTTGCATTATTAGTACTACGATATAGGTTGCAAGAGCTGCCAGAAAAGCATTCTTAAAATTGCATTTGCCCTTTTGTTTTGTCTTTTTGAGACAGAATTTCACTATGCAGTTCAGGCTGGCCTTAAACTCATTTTGTAGCCCAGGATGGCCTTGAACTTGCTGCAGTCCTCCTGCCTCAGCCTCCTGAGTGCTGGGATTACAGGCGTGTACCATACATTTGCCCTTTTTTGGCGCAGGCAGGAATTGCTGTACCTGAGCCCATCACAAGGCAGGCAGGCACTGGTTATGATGCAGAGATGGAAAGATAAGTGAATATCCTCTCCAGTAATCTGTGTAACAGAGCTCCTACCAAAATAGCACCAGGAACTCACAGATACATGAAGACACCCAGGCAGGCAAGCAATATTTACAGAGGCAGCTGCCACAGAAAGGAACCAGGTGCTGGAGAAATTGTTGGGGCAGGGGCACTGGCACCACTCTCAGCAGAGGAAGTGGGGGACCGTAGTCAGGGATTAGGGATGGGGAGGAGATGGGGCTTTTTCCTGTAGGCCAGTGTTCCCTTCAAGACTTACAGTCCCTCGGAGGTTTATGAGGGGGTAAAAAAAAGCACCACAGTCAAAAAAGTTGAGCCTATTCTGCATATTACAGCCCCTTCTTAAGAGACGTACTGCACACATGACTACATCAGGTTCTAAAAAGGGAGAGCAGAGAAAGGACAGGCTCCTCCCTACCCTTCACCTCACAGAATCTCTAGTACCATTCAGGACAATTGTCACTGCAGAGCTTGCCTGAAGAAAGACTGCAGTAAGTGAAAAGCCCGCAGAGACTTCAACAGCTCAAAACTAACAGCAGACCAGTGAGCCAAAGTGCCAGGGTTCAAACCATGGAGCTGCCACTTACTACAGCGTGTGACAATTTCAGCAAGTTACTCATTCTCTTTGTACCTCAGTTCCTCCTATGAAAGTGGGGTTAGTACCCTCACCCAACTCACGCTGAGAAAACAGAATGACTTTATAAAGCATGCAGACCTGTGCCTATTACAAAAGAACTATGTGTTTGCAAACATCACCATTGCCATTAATATCAATAGTGCTTCCTACAAACCATTTGCAGCATGTGTAAGTTCAACATTCTAAATGAACACATTTTTAAAATGATTTAGTAAGGCCCACAGCCAGGCCTGGTTGCAGGCCTATCATCCCAACACACGAGAGGTTGAGGAAGGAGGGTTGCCAAGTATTTGAGGCCAACCTAGGCTACAAAACCAAGTTCAAGGCAAGCCTGGACGACATAGTGAGACCTTGTCTCTCCACATAGACACACAGACACACAGACACACAGACGGACACACAGACAGACACACACACACATCAAGGGGTTGAAGGGAGGGTAGAGGAATGGGAAAACAACAACAACAAAAATAAAGCCCATAAAAATGTGTAGAATATAGAGAAGAGACTGCTAAAGGGAGTTAAAAATATACATATGTAAGCACTAAAGTCAAAAGCAACCAATGGTATAGAATCCAGATTTAAACAATTTTCAAGTTGTAATACTCTTATAACCCTATGACAATTTTCAGTTTACTCTCACCAAATCTTCCCCTTTATCATAAAAAAGGGAGTTTGGATTTAGGAGAAGAAGATAATCAAGAAAATGCTGAAGAGGGACCAAAGATGACAGGAAACAAAGAATACAGGCCTAAATCTTGTGATTCCAATAACCAATACTGCTGAGTAGATAAAAGTCAGTGACTTCACAGTGCACTTATTTTACTTTGAATTCTGAAAATTCTAACAGGTTTTTGGCAGAATGTTATTTGTGTAAATATCTCATATTGTTTACATTCAAGGAATGCCAAAACACAAAGATAAATCAAATGACAGTGTTTTTTCCTGAGTTATGGATGGGATTATGGGTAATATTAATCTTTCGATATCTTAATTTTTAAATTTTTTTCTTTAATAAACATTTTTGAAGAGAATACACAAATAGACATAACTGGGATATATT